CGTACTACAATTGAAGCATTTGCGAGTAATATGACATATGTTTTGATTTATCTTGGATTTTCATTAACATTTGCTAACTTTGCTACATCATCGGAAATATTTCGACGTGAATTATTACAACTGATTCAAACAAAGATATTACGTCAAAATCCAACACGCGTAACAACTGGTGGAGGAACAACAGTACGAGGACTTCGTCCAAATGATGGAGATGAATAAAATTGACGAAATGAAAAGATTATATCTAACACTAATCCTGCTAACGAGTCTGCTTTTTGTAAATCTATGTTATATATTTTTATCAATAAATATAAGTATCATTTGAGTTATATTGGATAGACGTGATATGTTAATATCCGCATGGAGGGTTTAGGTGTACATTATCCATCTACATCCGCACCTTCAACATAATATGTTTATAAGTTAGAGTTTTGTTTAGCTTACATTGCTATTTGTGTTAAATGCCTTAGACTAATATATACTTCCTGATAAAAATTGCGTATCATTGTCTTCGTATTTACTATTTGTTCTCTCGATATGTAACTATATAATCATCTTTTTTATAGCGATGTGAGATAGAATTATACAGATTAAGTAAAAAATACTTTTGAGCCATTTACTCGTGTTCTTATTGTCATGGACAATGACGAAAATTGAATTTAACTTGTATGATAGCCATGAAACATCGGATAATTTAAAATTCCATTGTTTACAGCAGAATTCATTGGTTCCTATCCGAAAGAGTCCAGTATTATTTTTCTTCCATTGATTTCTTCAATAGTCGTGATCGAAACTTACATTTGATTAATTACAACATATAAATGTCACTGCGGAAGAACTTCTTTCATAGTCAGCTTCGATTGATCTCGCTGTGAATATTCATTCGATTTAAGTAAAAAAATTACTTTTCAGAATGTTATCGTGAAAACATGAGCACGTAGAACAAAATTATTTCAACATGATCTGTTCATTTGAAATATGGTAGTTTTGTAGTAGTATAGATCGTATTAACCTTAAGCGTGATTGTACGAAAATATCAGATTGCATCCAATTTACTTTTCCTTATTTGAAATATGACACCACCGACCTTTTTCCTATCAATAATTTAATTTATCAATAGAATGAATCTATCATTTTACAATTTTTTTTCTATTGTACGACAGTTAAAACTTACGAAAAGTAAACATTGGTTGTCTTATTTCAATTCCAATATGTTCTATTTATTTCCGAATATTATTCGTCAATATTTGTTTCTTATGTTGTTATTAATAGGATTAAGTAGTGGTGGATTAAAATCAAGGATCAAATGTCGATTTCCTGGAAAAGATCAAAATATATTTTGGACAGGTGAAAACATTACAGGTACGATTGATTTTTCCAATAATTTCGGCAGCTTGAAACTGAACCGTATTGATATACAACTCATTGGTAAGGTTTTCTACTCACACTACACTGGAGCCTACAAGCAGGCGGCAACTCTCTATCGCATGGATATTTTGACCAAAGTACAGATCGTAGACTCTTACAATAACAAACGTATTTCTCTTCCATCATATAGCAATCATAGTTGGCCATTTCATTTCCCTCTTGAAAATTCCTTACCGTCCTCAGCTGGAGCAAAACGACACAATATACTGTATATTCATTACTTCATTCGCATTGTATTTACCAGATCTCAATGGTACAGACGGAATATTCAAAAGGAATTTCCTGTTATTATCAAACATGCATCGCTGCCTGTCAATTCGACACAACTCGAAGTAGAAGAGACAAATCGCAATGGTGTTCGTGTTCAACTCATTCTTCACAAGAATGTCGTCAACATTGGAAACAACTTTTCATTTACCGTCGATATACATAACCCACAGGATTATCTGATACGTTTAACAACGATGAATGTTTTACAGCATATCGACTTTCTTCCTTCCTATGCAAATAGAAAAACACGTATGTTTGAGCGAGATCTGGAAATCACCGATCACTTTCGAGATATAAACTTTCACAAAAACTACCAAATGCATGTGCCCAACACAACTCTACCCACTTTTACACATTATTATCTTTCGAAAGATAAAAATCAATCAGTTAGCATAAGTCACATACTTCAACTGAAAGTTGATCTTGGTGAGCCTTCTACAGATATTCTTCTAGAACTTCCGCTCATTATTACTAATCATCGGACAAACAACTGATCATATGGCACTAATACCGATAAACTATAAATTTCTTTTTTTTATTAGAACTAGATGAAAAATTAATTGAATAAATTTTATTGTTACATTCACATAGAAAGTTTATGTATTTCCACATATATATATATTAAGAATAAAATGTTTTGAATAATATCCTCACTCACATTCAATTTTACTCTTTGCTAGAAATAATTACAAGTGAATTTTCGATGAACATTTAAACGCTCATTTTCCATTTATTACATGCTCCCGTCCTTTGATCATATGGTATTTATATAGTTGAATTTTATTTGCAAGTCTCACATCTCTTCACTAATAATATCGCAACAAGCACGCAACTTCCAAAAGTCATTGCTTTACTCGTTACGTACTTGAATATTGAATCAAAAATCACTGTCTGATCATCAAAATATCGAATGAAACTACATTAACATAGAGGCCACGATAGAAAATTGTGTGTTTATTGCTATACTGCAGGGTAAACTGCAGGATTCTGTTGAATAACATTCTATATAATACATCTTAAGTTAAAAAGTCTTCGTTTGGTCACCAGATTTTCAAACTAGGATTATTGAACGCTCTCTAAACGAGGATTAGTTCTGAGAACTACAGCTTATAGGAATTTGACACGTATATCTCCAACGAGTACATATTATTTCATTTGATTAACAGTCGTATGTTTTCTCTAATGATACAGTATGAAAAAGAAGTACGCATAGAACATAATTTTGAAGTAACTCTTATTACTTTAATATTTAATATAGGATTGTATAATCTCTAAAGCCTAATCAACTATGAACTCACTTCCTATATATCACTCATATTATTATTATTATTAAATTGTCAAGAGCATATATACATATTATCCATATAAACATATATGCGATTCGAGTGGCTCTTGAATGTATTCTTAACCGAAGACCAATTATTGTATCATGAATTAATAAATTTATTTGATGATTATGCAAAATAATTTAGCATAAACTACTTTCGGTTAATTTGTTTTCTACCTACTAAATACGTATATAAATATGAGACTGTTTAAATGATTTTATACCTTCAATCAAATTTGAGCGATAATATTCGAACATAATTCATCCGATCTTACTTTGATATTATTCAATTTATTGTGAGTTTTTTTTCTTTCTTAACGACAAATTAAATATATGATTATACCTAGTTTATCAAACAATCCACATCATGAACAAATTCATTGTGATTCTGGTTGTAATGATGGCAATATTTTTGGTTGCTAATGCAAATCCTATTGAGGACAAGGCTATAAGTTGGGGATGTACTTTGAGTTGTTCTTTATACAACTATTGCATAGTCAAAGGTATTTCAAACGGTAACATGGCAGCGTGCGAAAGCCAAAAGCCTGCCAATTGCGTATGCAACGAATTTGCAAAGTGGTAATTTATCATTTTATTGTATCGCTTTCGTTTCTACGAAAAAATATTTTAATCACAAAAAGTTTTATTTCTCTTTAATTATATCTTTACTGTCTTTTCATTAATCAAAAATAAACAAGCGCGCTTAATCACCAATCGATGAACACTCACGTTAATGGCGAAAAACGTTCAGAGTCAACAATCAAATTGATTTTTCAGTAATGTTAAACAGACTTGAAGATGTGGATATAGGTGGTAGCTTAGGGTGTGAATGTACCAGATTCACTACCCAAACACACACATCTAGTTTTGTCCACATCCTAATTTTTATAAAAATGTCTCTCTTCTCCTTGCCTATCTTTGTAAAATCGTGTGCAAGGATGTGAGTGTGAGTGTGGGACTTTTTCAACTCTTTATTCGTTCCACACCCACACTCATCTAAATTATAGATATCTCTATTCAATAGTTCAAAAAATCGTGCATCAGATTATAACACTTTTAATCAAGATGAAAGAACTCATTATTCTGTAGATTTTATTTGAAATGTAGAGTAAATCATTTATTCTGAATTAATAAAAATAAAATACACAATTAACATTGTATTCGATTATCTTGATTTTTGAAATATTCTCTTAATTTGGACGAGATATTATTATTCCAGAGCCATAGTTGCTTGAGTGTCTATGTGAAATGATAAAAATGAGAGACTTACAGTGAATGAGAAAATAGAATTACTGTGTTATCTAGTAGGATATTAGCGATATGATCTGCCGCTTCATCTCCAATTGGATTTCCGCTAAGATCGAGTATTTCGAGTATCTATATGAAAAGATTGAAATGAGCACGATGAAGACGAATGATAAATCAAAACTACCTTGTTGTGTTGTAGAGCAGTAGCGAAACTTCGTACTCCCTGGTCTTCGATTTTATTGTTCCAAAGATGTAGTATGGTGAGTGTCTATGTGAGAAGTTAAAGACATCAGAGATAGAGACAGAAGAAGAATTACTTCATTATATTGTAGAGCATTAGCAAGATATTGTGCTCCTTGGTTTCCGACTTCATTCCCAAGGAGATTTAGACAGATCAATTTCTATATAAAAAGTATACATGAGAGAGCAAGAGAAAAAGACACAAAAGAAAATCACCGTGTTGAATCGTAGAACATCTGCAAGATATTGTGCTCCTCGATCTCCAATTTTATTTCGAAGAAGATTCAATGTGGTAAGTGTCTGTAGAAAAAATATGAATGGCGAATAGAGAAGAAAAAGGAGAAAGATAAATAGTTACTCTATTGTGTCGTAAAGTAGCAGCGAGATGTTCTACTCCTTCATCTTGCACTTTATTATCATGCAAATCTAATGAAGTAATTGTCTGTATCAATAGAACTAGATAAGAGAGATAGAGAGAAAAGGGATGCTAAGTTACCGTGTTATGTTGCAAGGCATCAGCAAGATGTTGCGCTCCTCGATTTTCAATGCGATATACGCAGAGATTGAGTATACCGAATGGTGTCTATATAAAAAGATATACATATTAATAAAAACGAATGCAGTTTATCGTAATCATCTGATTGATTATTTTGTGTCATGCTTAAGGAGATAGAAGAACGAGATGAGAATGTGATAGAAACAAAATTGTTTTTTTGCTCAAAAATTTCTATAGTATGTATTTTTTCATAAGATATCATGACTTATACAAAGGTGGTGCCTTTTTCAGATAGATACTCTATTATGTGATGAATTCACGATCTCACTCAAATGATTTCTTTGGATATATTACAGGGTAGCTACATAGTATTGATTATTCAATGATAAACGAAAGGCATTTATAAACTAAGTATTATAATAGCCCTTACAGAATCTGATAAGACAGAAATAGTAATTTCCAATACACGCTTATAATAAAAAGCCCGGCCAACGAAATTGTTTTGTTTAGTATTGAAATATTACTGACTACAAGTGTTTTCTTGAATCAGAAAGTAAAAAATATACGGTTTCCATAACAAAGCTCAAGTTGATTCTTGCGTATCTATTATGTTTAGTACTGATCTGAACAGCTAGAAACATGAAGTAGTATCATTTAACGAGAGTAACAAGTACAAAGTTTTTAACCGATTGCTATATAGATATCTTTAGATCTACTGGAACAACGAAGGGAAAACTGGAACGGTAAATGATTGTCTCTCACACTTCTCCTTCTTATCTATTTACTAGGTGTTTCTCTTTCAATCTGGCGGCTGCTTGACTTCTGACTCTATCTATAAAATATGTGCCGGAGATAAGTGAAGATACATTTGGATTAATGATCTAGCTAAATAAACAACGTGTCGAATGATATAGATCAAAGATAAAATTGTCATTCTATATTTAGAGTAGGTTCTCGAGCGTACCTCATCTGCAATGATGTTAACTTCTTCATGGATTGGTCGTTGAGTAATGCGACAAATATTGTCTATCCATGATACTTCACATCTTATCGGAGAATTATATTCAATACCATATATCGGTGTCGTATGAAGCCAGATCGCACGAAATCTTGGATTATAAGCACAAGTGACAAACCAACGTTTGTTATCAAGGTAGAAAGGTGCTCGAAACGAATCCATGATTGATTCGAGACTAATAAAGCGTTGGTCATTGGAGTAAGTGTAAGAGAAGAAAAATTCAAATTTATCGAGTACTGGCAACTTGGTTTGAATGAAATTTTGCCAAGTAGAGCCATTAAACACATAATCGAATAATATTCTGTAAGAAATTAATTTGAGATGTTTCAATGAAGGTATTGGTAAAACCAGGAGTGCAAGATTGCCTTGTGATATGTAATTATCAGTAACAGTTAGAGATGTTAAGCGTGAATGGAAAAAAGATGTAAATGATAACGACGGTGTATTATTCAAATAGTTAAAACTACAATTTCTCATGACGAGTGTTCGTAAATTGGGTAACTGTTGAAGAATAACCAGATATTCGTTATATGTACAATCTTGAATTGCTAAATAATTCAATATCCATTGATCTGATGAAACCAAAGTCAATACGTTTGCATGTTCTCTTTCACATAATTCAATCGAAAGTGAAATAAGATGATTCGTTTTCACACGTTCTAAGATATATATAAGGTCTTGATTGTTGATTTGATAGAGTGTTAATGATCGAAGTATACTGAATCGACTAATATTAAACAACGAATTGACTATTTGTATATAATTTTTTATTCGCGAGTCGTCAGAGATTATCAACGAAATGACATTTTCAGGTTTAATAAAACAAGAGATTGCTGTCATGGAACGAAACCTTTGTGATTTGCAGATGAGATTTATTCGATTATATGTCCTGACAATCTCATCGAGTCTTTTGCAGACACAACGAACGGAAAATAGCGTTGGTTGAAGATCACAATAATCAAACACATAATGGATTACTTCTGTAGGAAGAACAAGAAGAGACATATTCATCGCTGAAATATCGCTTGACTGTTATTCACTTTTTTGGGCAGTATTCTAAACAAATAATTGTAATTCAAATGATAGTCTATATATATTTTTTCAAAGGTATATCTTTCAACTAAAAAATCAATAGTTTGAAAAAAACGACTATAACATCAGTATAAAAGCGAAACGATGTGTACGCCCTCTTACATTTTGTCGTATGAAATTTACGTAAGTGAAGTAAGCAGCCGATTCGAGTATTTCCACCGGCGATTCGTCTACGATGCGTTCCAGAGGCTTCCAAGTGCAACTCGACGAGCTCTATCGAATGGTGTGCTCAGATTTTTCGTAGCTCAAAGTAAAATTTTTTGACCTACAGATGGCGCCACCAAAATCGAAAAGTTTTTACTTTAAGCTACGAAAAATCTGAGCACACCATTCGATAGAGCTCGTCGAGTTGTGCTTGGAACTTGTCTGGAACCCTTTGGAACGCATCACAGGCGAATCGCCGGTGGAAATACTCGAATCGGCTGCTTACTTCACTCACATATGAAATTTGTGTTTAAACAAAATTACAAATGAACCGATTTCCCCAAAGACTGATATTATCTGTATAAAATTCTAAAATCAATGTGCACATTTTTCGATCAAAAAGAAAGTATGATGAAACTGTAGAGCTAACTTGATATTATTCTGACAACTATAAAATAGTCAGCGTAAAATGTCTTACCTATTTCGTTTGAATAACAAGTTTATTGCCGTTGAATGAAGAATTCTTTCTAATGCAAAAGTATGATATAGAATAAAAAACCCAGTCATGACTCAGTATTACCCAATAATAATGCGTTGTAAATATACGAGAAAAAATAAGCAGTAAGAGTAAAAGTCTAAAAAAAGGAAAGAAAGAAACTTGGCAAATTCAAATCGGACATGTCTACCGTATTTCATTTTGCTTTTTATAAGCGAATATATATATTATTCGTTCGCTATTCTTTCTTTTCTCCACATATATCTATCTATCTGGTATTTTCCTTCTTTTATACATATATGATTATATGGGATTTTATCCTTCTCTCTCACATATATGTTCTTATGGCATTTTCCTTTCTTTCTCTTAACTCATTCTTCTTTTGTTCTTTTTACTTATATTGAAATTTTCAAGTGATGAATGAAAGGACATAACTTAAGTGTTTACTTAGATTATATTGTATTACAAAAAATAGGAATAATCCAAAGTAACCATTTCTTGTTCTATAAATAGTCGCGTTTTATTCTTAAATAAATCGAACTATCATTAAGCTTCCAAAACTATCATCTTCTACAAGTTACACTGTAACACTTTTAGGATAGCGCCATGTTTTATACAATATTTTTTCATATCTCAACACTAGTGATATAAAAGAATACCTTCATGTTGTAAAAAAACAACAAGCTAATCCACTTACTTGTTTTGATAGATGGCGGGTGATATTGGAAGGATTTGTAAGTAATGATAAAAGACGACTGTAACTGTATTTTTGAGAGTGTGAGGTGAATTTGAACCTCAAACTCACACCCACCCTCTATTTTTTTTCTCCCTATCTATCTTATATTATCATGTAAGTACAATAAAATGAAGTTCGTTTTTCATGTAATGCAAAAAAGCAGAAATTCATATTGTTTTATTGAAAGAAGTTGCATTAATACTGAAGAATATTTCTGTATTTCGATCATTTAGCCCGTAAATTTTCGGCATCCACGTAGTTGCAGCAAACAAAATGACTAGAAAAGCAATCATATTCATTACAACACCAGTTTTGACCTAATAAAATAACGTCTTTATTCATTATTTGTAAACAAATATTTTACCATATCAATCACACGAATTTCACCACTAGCGAAAATAATTGCGTTCGGCGGTGTTGCTAAAAGATACGAAAAGAAATATTTTTATTTAATACCGTTTTATTCAAATTATTTACCGATAGGTAACATGAAAGCCATTGAAACAGCTAATGTACAAGGAAGAAGTAGATACGCGGGATGAAGATTTGAAGTGCGAGCCTAGAAAAAAGGATTCTTCGTCTTTCGTTTCATATTAAAATCGAACACCGAAACTTACTACTGAATCAAGAATTGGAAAAAAAATACTTGCTGTACTGATATTCGATGTTACTTCCGTGAAAAAACCAGTAATAATAATAACTAAAAAAATCACTGCTGCACGTGGTATTCCTGATAAAAATCGAAGTGCATGTGCAACACTTGCTGATAGTTTTGAAACCTGAAGAATCAAAAAACAAAACTTAATCATTGTTCATTCGCTTTTTAATGAACAAACTTGAAAAGCTGTTGCAACAACAAGACCAGCACCAAGTAACAACATTGCACCCCAAGGCATATTTTTCGCTAAACGATTCCATTGAACGATTGGTTCATATGTCCAATTCTCTATAATAAATATCGAATATTCCAAGATCTTTTGTTCAACTAATCTTACTTTGGAAAGGATTAGCATTGGGTAAAATCATTGGTAATACTCCACAGAGTATTGCTACTGTACCATCGCTGATATATTTATGTCGAAAGATAATTTTCCATCCAGGTACAACAGAAAAATCTTTAGTTACCCATAAAATAATCATAGAAATAAAAATAATTCCAACCGATACTTCACTCCATCTAGGAAAAAAATAATAACTAGATAAATTAAAGTTGAATTTTATTTCTTCCCTACTGTGGTCTTCCAAGATCTTTGTATTGTTTAATTAACATCGTCTTTAAATTAGCTTGTGCTGCACGACTTTCAGCATCTATACGTAATGTAAATAATCTGAGAAAAAAAAATTGAGAATTTATCAAAATTTCTCCAAACTCTTTGATGTTATAAGAAATTTGTAACCATAACCAACATAAAATCAACATTAAGAGAGCTGTTGGAAAGGCGAAGAGAAGAAAATCAAGAAAATTAATACGAAAAGCCGTGTTTTTGTATTGACTATAAATAAATCAATAAATAGCTCAATAAAGAGACGAAAACAAATCTTTCGTTATTGTTTATTAACTTATCAATGAAACCTTTGAGGAAGATATTCGGTGCTGAACCAACCAAACTTGATATACCTCCGACTGAAGCTGAATAAGCAACACTAAGAAGAAAAGCTAAAAGAGGAACTTATGCACAAATCAAAAATTCACATTTCCATCCTGACCTTTTTTTATATTTTTATATTTATTTTCATGCGATTTGATTGTCATCGATTGATCTGAATTTGAAACGTTTTCTTTAGTTAAATCAAGCACATCTGTATAATATAAACAAAAGTGAATCTTTAAGTCAATTATTTATTTACCGTCGACAGTAGTAATAGCTACTTTACTATAACTTTCCAGTTCGTTCGTAACGGCCATTGCTACTGGTATCATAATTGATGTTGCTGCTGTATTATTCATCCACATGGAAAGAAAAGCAGTTACTCCCATTATTCCAGCCATTGACCTAAATAGAATTTATTTGTTTGAAAATTATTTAAAAAAAAGAAGAAGTACCATTTCGATGAAGTACCAACAAGACTTAAGACGAATAATGCAATTCGTCGATGGAGATTAACAGATTCAACTGCATATGCTAGTGACATACTTCCAAAGAACAGTGTGATTATATCTTTGAAATAATGAGGAGCAACTGTTTCAGCAGGTAATATTCCAGCCTAAATATGTATCAATATGAATTCATTAAAACAAACAGCTACTTTGTTTACCATCGGAAAAAGAGCAAGTGGTAAAAGAGAAGTAACTGGTAAAGGAATTGCTTCGAATACCCAATAGACAGTTAGAATAAGGACAATATATCCACATCTCGCTTGCTAGAATGAAATGATTAAATATTATAACTTGTGATAGTATATTTAACGTACAGAGGATTTGCCAATAATTGGTATTGGAAGAAGAACTAATGGTGTTAATAGAACCAATAATAAACGCCATCGTTGTTTTAACCAATTTATTCTATGAAACATTGTTTTTAAAGACTCAAATAAATACATATGATCGGTGAAAGAACAAATTAATGATAAATATGAGAAAAGAAGATTTGATTCTATTGCTGAAGGTTGTACAAGTGATAGATAAGATCATTAAATATGACATTTGATCAATCTCTATTTTAATCAATCAGTAAAAGGCACGATTCTATTAAA